ATATCTATTGATTGGTTGAAGATACAGTCTCCAAATTTGGAATACGTAACGGAATTTGGAACAAAAATAAGTTTGCCAAATTATATTGTAATCGGTTCAGATTTGGATATAGCTCCCATATATATTTTCGACCGATTTCATGTATTTGATGCACCGATTTCAATGAAATTGGGAATATGTAGCGGAAATTAAAACAAATATACATTTGTCAAATTATATTAAAATCGGTTCAGATTTGGATATAGCTCTCACATATATTTTCGACCGATTCATGTATTTTATGCACCATACACGATATGTATGTTCGATTCCAAAGAAATTTGGAATATGTAACGGGATTTGGATTTGAAGATAAATTAGTCAAATTATATTAAATCGGTTCAGATTTGGATATAGCTCCCATATATTTTCCGCCGATTTCACATATTTGATGCACAAAACACGATACGTATTTCCGATTCCAATGAAATTCGGCACGAGTGGTTAAATTTGGTACAAAAATAAATTTGACAAATAATATTCAAATACGCTCAGATTTGATTATAGCTCCCATATTTATATACTCAGCCGATTTCACATATGTGATGCACCCAAAGCGAGAGAAACGAAATCTGGCACCAGAAAAAAATGTCAAATTATATTGAAATCAGTTGAGGTTTGGGTGTAGCTAACATATATATTTCGGCCGATTTCATACATGTTATGCACCAAACACGATATATATGACCGATTCCAATGAAATTCAGAATGTGTGGCGGAATTTGGTTACAATAATAAATGTGACAAATTAATTGGAAATTAGTTAAGATTTGGATATAGCTCCCATATATATATTCTCGGCCGATTTCACATATTAGACGCACCAATTTCAATGAAATATGAAAGGTGTGGTGTGTTTGAAATACGCTTATTACGGCGAAGTATGTTGCTATCTCGAATTCACTAATTTCAATAGAAATGCCACTCAACTTCAAAAGATTGCAGTTTACTGCACGCTTGGTATTTGCTATGAAATAAATAAATCCGAAGGACAAACCCTTCGTGTATGTATGTCATGTTACTGCTTTTCTAATGGTTTTGGTTATTTACGCATTAAAGTAGTGCAATATTTTTTTTTTTAATTTTTAAATTTGTTTTTTTTTTAACCAACATATATTCGTAAATAAAATTTTGAATGCATATAAAATCAAAAGGGGTAGCGAAGCGCACCGGGTTCAGCTAGTCTCTTTATATATCGCATACGTGTTTCTTCATCGGGATACACGACGTCTGAGATTTGACTTATTTAAAAAAAATTATTTTATGCATTTACCGCTTTCCTAGAAATAGGGTCATTACCAAATAAGGATCTACTAACCATTTTTTTGCTTAGTTGCTTAAACACACAGCTCGAACCGTAGACAGCTTTTCCAAGTAATTTCTCTACAAATCTCTTCGGGTACTCTCTCAGTCTGTTGCTGCTAGATATTTCCTGAAAGCTTCGGTGTTTTCAGTCACCTTCCGAATGAAATGAAGTAGGTTGATAAAAATTTGCCAAATGTATAATATGTCAACAGGACTTTTGGTATTGAAATTGGGCCATGTAAGTCCATGTCTTGGTGTAGCCCCCATACAATGGTACCTCCCTATTTTGGGTATTTTGGTGATTTAGAGACATTATTCACCGGAAATATTTTAATTTTTGTATTTGAAGTTCGTAATGAATACTACAGCCTATGACAGACAATTGTCTGTGCATGTCCACGTCTTCGTATAGCCCCCATACAACGGTACCTCCCGATATTTGGTATTTTAATGAATTTAGCGCCATTATTCACTGAATTATTTCAAATTTTGTGTTTGAAGTTCGTAATGGATAGAACAGCCTATGACAGAAAATTATCTGTGCAGGTCCACGTTTTGGTATAGTCCCCATATATTGGTACCTCGCTATATTCGATATTTTGATGATTTTAGCTACATTATTCAGCGAATTTTTTTCAAGTTTCGCATTTAAGTATTGTAAACCACGTCGTCGTATAGATTCTAATATAACGGCTATATTCGGTATTTTTAAGATTTTAACAGCATTTTTAGCGCATTTTATTTTTGTTGAAAATTGCCAAAATTACAAATGGTGGAGGGTAAAATTGCAAAAAATTACAAATGGTGGAGGGTATTCAAAGTTCGGTCCGGCCGAACTCATAGCTTTTTTACTTGCTATTAGTATCAGATGAATTGAATACTTTAGGAAATGGTGTACTGAAGTATGAACTAGATTGCAGGGTGCGGAAAACGATTAAAATACGCTCTTTCTCACAACTATTCACGGCGACAATTAGATTGTTTATTAATGTATCGCGAGCGATACAGTTACAAAAAGCGCACAAGCAATCACAATCTCTCACAAGCAAAAGCAATGAACGAAAAACTCACGAAAGATGAACGATGATTCTATTTACAAAACGTATTTTTTATAGCTTGTCCGAAGGGAAAATAATAGCTCAAGTCCTATAAAATACAGCAGGTATTGATATTTAAATTTTCCACTAAATTGGTTAGAACATTGACGTTGGGTTATCGCTTTAAGATGCATTGAACAAAGACATTACGAGGCTCGTAATGACTTTAATGTTTTCTAAGGCTGGAAATACATAAAGTGCATATTTGGCTGGCTTAAGTCATCGGCTGGCTTCTTCGTAGATGAACAGAGGAGTTTTAGGTTGACTTGGTTCGATTTTGGCCCTAGGCTCCCTTGTTCGTTTCCGAAAAAGCCAGCCGATGACTTAAGCCAGCCAAATAAGCGCGTTATGTATTCCCAGCTTAAGGGTCTAAGTACATAAGAAGCTTGAAGTCATGGCTAGGCATATTTTGTGACATTTCATAAAGGGATTACAGAGCCGCACTAAAATCCTGCCGTCGTTTTCCATTATAATTTGACATTAATATGCCTAGCCATGACTTCAAGCTTGTTATGTACTTGCACCTTAATATGTGCTCTTTAAGTTCCTTTTGAGACAAAAGACATATAGAAATATTTTTTCTTTATTGTATGAAACAAGCTTAGCTTTATTTATTTTTGACAATTTGCCCATTTATTAAATGAGCGTAACAAACCAAAAAATAAAACCTGTAAGAAAAAGTCAAATGTCGGGTGGGGTCGACTATATGATTCCCTACACCACTATGCTTAATTAGTAGAGCTCCTATCAACATTTGGCTTTAGAACAGTTTGGTTTCAGAGGGAACTAATATATGCGAGGCATATCCAATTCTAAACCGATTTTCACTAAATTTGACGGAAATATGTTTATCTTTTAAACCGAATAATATTGCTATAGAGTGCATGATATCACTTCACGAAGATTATATTAAAAAAATGTATATATCGGAGCCGAGTTCCACAAAATAGAAATGTACGTCCCGGAATTCACTCCATTTGGGCTGATATTATTCATTATTAGCACAATAAACTTGAAATCGGATTAAGGATATATATGGAAGCTATATCTAAATCTTAGCCGTTGTAGATAAAATTTGGCAAGATATTTCCGAGCTCTATAATATATCTGGTACTAAATATCATTGTTGGCGAATGCATATTACGAAAGTGAGGGGCACCAAATCGGATGAAATAAATATATGAGAGCTAAGCCATATCTGAACCGATTATCTCCAAATATGATGTACTTGCATTTAGACTGAATTCGGTCAGATGTACCAAAATCCAGGACTTTTGAACAGAGACAATCCATTTGGTGCACAATTAACCCGAAATCGGTTGAAGATATATTTCGGACCTTTATCGAAATCTGAACCGATCTTGATAAAATTTGGAAGAGGTATTTCAGAGCTGTATCTGATAACTGGTACCAAATTTCATTGTATTCGAATACATATTACGAATGTGAGGGACTTAACACCAAATCAGATGAAACATATATATGGGAGCTATAGCTATATCTAAACCGATTTTCATCAAATTTGATGTGCCTGTTTCTAGACTGAATTCTATGCCAAAATTCAGTCCATTTGGGCTTATATTAGCCAATTGGTGCACAATAAACCTGATATCGGATGAAGATATATATGGGAGCTATATCCTAATCTCAACCGATCTCTATAAAATCTGACAGAGGTATTTTCGAGCAGTATCTGATATCCGTTACCAAATATCATTCTTCTGGAGTGCACATTATGATGAAACATATATATGGGAGCTATGGCTATATCTGAACCGATTTTCTCCAAATTCAACTTATTTTCTTCTAGACTAAATTCTGTGGGATACAGATCATTTTTGACTTATATTAGCCATTTGGTGCACAATTAACCCGAAATCGGTTGACGATATATGGGAGCTATATCTAAATCTGATCCGATTCTCACCAGTTTCAATAGGGTTCATCCTTAGGCCAAACAAATATTGTTTGCAAGATTTCATCTCAATCGGATAATAAATGCGACCTGCATTTTGTTTGTTTTCCATCTCTGCGTATGAATGATATGAAATATATTAAATAACTCATACTTTTACTCGTTGAAACTGGTGTACTGAAATATGGTATAGGCGGCATTACAAATTTAATTAGGTGTAAGATGCTGAGTTGCTATTAGGAAATACAAAAAAAAAAAAAATAAAAAAAAAAACTCCCACTTAGTCGTGAAACAATTCCAATTTCTCGTAAAGCTATAAATTAAACTATTATATTGGCACCCACCCTCCCAAATGTCCTTCTTGTCCTTTTGCATTATTAATGCCCTATAATTAAGTTTTTTTTTGCACTCTACCTTATTTTTGTCTATAACATTCCAAAAAACTTTATTTTTAGTTCTTTTTCTTTTGGCCACAAATGAAACATTCGTTTCCTAGGAAAAACACAAATCTGTCTTGCAAAGAAAAAAGATGTTTGCCTCTATTTGGGACAGGAAAATCTTATTTTTCACAAGGGTCCACTACAAAATTCATCACCGAATGTCCTGGCGATTGGGGAGTGAGGGACATAGTCATAGTTACTTACCTGCGAAGTGTACTTTGATTGAAACACGAGCGTCTCGAGTGATAGTATCTCTTGGATGCGGTGCTAGTCAGCGATGTGTCCCTGTGCATGCACATGGTGTCGTTACGTTTTTTGAGTTTTGTGCGGGGGCCTTCACAAAACAGGTACCTGCAAGGTAGTGGGCGGGTAGAACGAAAAGGAAGAAGAAAAAAAAGAAAACGGAAGAAACAAAAAAGCACTTGTGAGGGAGGGAAATACTTTGTAATGTTTTATGAGATTCTTCGGCAAAGCTAAACAAACTATGAAAGATAAGATAAACACAACAGAGATTTAAATGAGATATTGGAGTCCTTTGTAAGGATTAAATCGGCAAAAAATAAAACAAAATAAAGCATTCAATGTTACTCTGATCGGATTCACTTCGGAAATAGAAAAACACAAGAAATTCCTTAAAGGATAACACAATAGTTCATGCATTTTAAAGTGATTCCATAAAACGCTTGTATTCAATTCCAGAACATTTTACAACAATTTCACCAACAGCAATTTACAATTGTTTTAAATTACGGACTTATTCTAATGACATCCAGATGCGAGGATGTGGACGTGTGCGTGCGTGTGTGTCTACCAATGACATTCATAATTTATGGGGGACAAGCGTTTCGGGGTTTCGTTTGCATTTTTGATTTAGGTGTTCTTGGTTGTGCTGCAAACGAAATCGAATCGGTTAGTAGAGGATTGTATGATGAGGGATTTGGTAATGTGGTAGGTGGAGGTGGTAGTGGCGGGGGGATGTAGTGGTTATGTTTGGCGGTTATATTTCGCCAAACGAAACGCTGATTGTCACGCATCCGTTTCGACGTGAATAAACAAGTACCTATTGAAATGTTTGCGAAAGGCGCCGCTCACAAAGTACAGAGCCACTGGATTCGCACAGCTGTTGGCAAAGGACAGACAAAAGCCAACGATACGCAAAACGTGCCAAAACGAGTTGTAATCATCCTGGGCCGTGGGCCTGCAATTAAAAAAGAACACATGCAATGTTTTAATTCAAAAATCAATAATTAATGCATTTATGAATAATATATTTAATGGATAATGTTGAGAGAATAGAATTGTCATAAAAATGCAACATTTAAGAGCCCCTTAAATGAAATTGACCTCAACTTGTTTCTAATACTGAGTAACATTTTTACATTTGGCTTAGAATTTTAATTGCATAATTGTAGATGCTCTCCTCAATTTTTTGGAAATTCTGATATATGAAGGTGACTTTGAAAATGTGTACTAAGTGTACGAACTGTACAAATTTGTACTAAATTTGGAACAGTTTGATTTAGGGTGAAGGGAGGAAGCTGGAATTTTGACACTTTGTATTGGTGGTAGGTTTGTGATAAGAGGTGTGTTTTGAAATGTGTACTACAAGTGCACGAAAAGTATTAAATAGTACCATATACAGGGTAACTGCAACCAACTTCAGACTGCTTTCATTTCTAAACCACTCATCCGACAGCTGTTAAAATTATTCCAGTGATAGCTCATTATATTGTTTACAAGCATACAAAAGCAGTTTGGTGAGAATTTTCCAGAAAGAAAAAAATTATTTGTTATGGAATTCAAGCGTGATAGTGTGATTTCTTTATGTTTGGAAGGAAGTGGACCGAAGAAAACAGCAACATCAGCAGAAATGATTCGAAAAATAAAGAAGCGACTTGGTCGAAATCGTCGTGGCAGTGGCCGAAAAATGGCTCGTGGATTGGAAAGAGTTGGCCGTAGACCTCGGACATTCCAACAGGACTCAGCACCATCGCACTCAGCAGACGCCAAGAATGGTTACAAAATGAGGTAACTCGCTTCATTTGTAGCATACAATGGCCACCAAAATCTGCGGATACCAATCCGTTGGACTATTGTGTTCGGAGTATTTCGGAAAGCAAGGTTGGCACTAAAAAATACCAAAGTGTCGATCACCTCAAGCAAGCGCTTCGCCGGCAATGGACCAAAATATCGCGGAGCAACATTCGGGCAGCGTGTGACGGTTTCATTGGCCGTTTGAAGGTCATAATTCGTGCCAAAGGTGACCAATTCGAACAAATCTAATCTTATTCTAAAATGTGATGCTATTTCCGACATATTTTTCTTTCATTCAATAAAATGTGAAAAAATGTAAAAAATTATGGCGTTTGACTTTGTTGCAGTTTTTTTAACTCACCCTGTATGGTACAATTTGTTCTTGGGCGAACATAGTACGTGCAATTTGAAATTTTATATCGCTGTTCATGTGTAGCTTGATATATGTAGGTGATTTCGGAAATGTGTGCTATAATTGTACGAGAATTACTGATGGTATCTGTGTTGGAATACTAAATGGTGTGGAAATACTAAATGGCACTAAATTTGGTATTAGGTGAAGGAATAGGGCTGAAATACTCAAATTTGATTTGTTATCTGGAATTGAATTATGGAAATGTGTACCATAATTGCACGAAAAGTACTTAACTCGGTATAGGGTGAAGGAATATAGCTGAAATCCTGAATGTTAATATAGATGTCATTGTTGGTGTCTGTGGCTGTGATATATTTGGAAATGTGTACTAAAATTGTTCGAAAAGTAGTAAGTGCTACTAATTTGGGCATTGGGTGAAGGGATATAGCTGGAATCGCAAAATTTAATTCTGAGGTCTTTGTTGGTATCTACGATGGAAATATGAATATGGTTTCGAAAATGTCTACAAAAATTGTACGAAGAGTACCGAATGGTTGTAGGTCATAATGGGTCCCAGTTGGTGTGGCGAAACATTGTATGTAGAGGTTCACGTTTTGGTATAGTCCCCATATAACAGTACCTCCCGATATTCGGTATTTTGATTATTTTTGCCACATTTTTTCACAGATATGCCTGAAAATTGGCTTGGCTTCATTGGCGAAACATTGTATGTATAGCCATATTTCCCGATATTCGGTATTTTGATAATTTTTGGCACATTTTCCCATGAATATGTCTAAAAATTGGTATTTGTGGGTTATAATGGGCTCTAAAGTTTCCTTTACCCTAAGGTGGAGGGTATTAAAAGTTTGGCCTGGCCGAACCTAATATTTTTTTGCTTGTTTTAACATAATCCTCTCATGCACTCTATATCAATGTTATATGATACAAAAATTAAAATGTCCCCGTCAAATTTAGTGAAATTCGATTCAGAATTGGATATGCCTCCCATATATTAGTTCCCTGTGAAACCAAATTATAACAGCTCTAAAGCCAAATGTGGATAGGTAGTATGATTTACTTCAAATATGTTAATTCTTTTGTTACGGGGCTCTATATGCATAGTGGTGTAGGGTATCATATATTCGACCACGCCCGACTTTTGACTTTTCCTTACTGTTTTTCTTACTGGTTTAGTACTTATTCTCAAATCCACCTCCGCAATGTAACCCTTCATACTAACACCGACCATTATGGCAAAATTGCAGACTACGAACACTGTCCGTGTTTGCCAAATTTAGTACCATTTCCTACTTTTGGTACACTTACCCATCAGCACTCAAAAGATTTCAAATGTCCAAATTCAGCAGCCAACCATACAACCACATTTGTGTCGTACAATACGAACTAGACCACAGACGCAATGTTTTACCAGTATTTCATGTCAAATTCTTTCTAAACCATATTGAAAATGTATTAAAGGTTCATTTATACCATGTGCGATGGTGCAATGAAAATTATTATATATGACAAGCATTTTACCCATATCATTAAGAAATCAAGGTTGCATAAATAAATTAAATAAAAAAATATAAGGAAAATATAAAAAAATCTATTTTTCCGTAACTTATTTCCAAACCAAATCACAGGCAATTTGCTTCCACTTGAAAAGTTATTTAAAGGTCCTAATTCTGTGCTAAATTGGGAAACTTGGCGATTTTTTTGTTTCAAAAAGAAAACTACGCAAACCAAAGAAAATCCTTAAAAAATAAATAAGCAAACAAAAAAAGTTCTTATTTCGTTCGCTGGCCCTTTTCACTGACACAGGGTCAACATTCGAAATGGAAGATAAATCCCACTTCCTGCCATTTCAACAATACCAAATTCTGGCAATTAACACCCTTAACCAAAGGAAACGCTTGGGGCCTTCAAGGCACAATGATAACCCCATGGGATACTAATTTAACTTATTTAAAAATACAAAATACTTTGACGTTCTTTGTTTGCAATTTAAGCCCATTATGACCACGCAGCATGTGGTTTGAGGGCTACTGTAGTACATTTTACGTTGCTCCATGGCCAGAAATGAGCAACGAAATACTTTCAATGAATGAGCGAGGAAACCCAAAAACTTGGTACTAAAATGAGCAACGTCTACATTTTCAACAATCAAAATTCTATGTTTACCCTTTCTTTGTGGGGATTTCCTGTTATCACAAGAAAGAAAACTGCAAATCCTTTGGAATTATGAAGATTTATTTTGAGTGAAATATTTGATGGAAAGGAGGAGGAGGAAGAGTAAGAGATTCGCGATGATATCATTATTGAGAACATGATATAAATTTCACAGAAAAGAAAAAATAAATTTTAAAACTTAAATGAAACAAGTAAAAAAGCAGTAAGTTCGGCCGGGCCGAACTTTGCTGTTCCACCATTTGGAACGAATTTCGAAATTTTCAAAAAAATAACATTCACCAAAAATTCTGTTAAAATTTTAAAAATACCGAATATAGCCATTATATTGGGGTCTATACGAAGACGCGGACCTGCATAGTCAACTTTTGTCATAAGCTATTACTATATAGAAATACGAAACTTGACAAAAATTATTAAATAATGTAACTAAAATCATCAATATACCGAATATAGGGAGGTACTGATACATGGGACTTGTACAAAGGCCTGGACCTGCATAGACAATTTTCTGTCCCATTACCAACTCTAAATACGAAATTTGAAGTAACTCCGGTGAATGATGTCACTAAAATTATCAAAATACCGAATATTGGGATGTACCATTATATGGAGGCAATACGAAGACGTGGGTCTGCATAAGCAATTTTTTGTCATAGGCTATAAAACCCATTACGAATTCTAGGTACGCATTTTCAAACAACTCCGGTGAATAATATGAATATCGCCAAATATCTAATATCAGGGGTTCCGATGTATGTGGGCTATACGATATCTTGAACCTATATAGATATTTCTCTTCCAGGGAGTAAAGTGTTTGGAAAGAACTTCTAGTATGGATTTTTAGACAATTCCATCGAAAAGTGTTGCTAAAATCATCAGAATACCGAATATAGCGAGGTACCGTTACATTGGGTATAAACGATATCGTGAACCTATAAAGACGATAATCTTCCAGGGGATGAAGGAAATCCTTACGAGGATTTTCAGACAATTTTATTGAAAAAATTGGCTACAATCATCAAAATACCAAATATCGGGGGTACCGTTGTATGGGGGCTATACGATATCATGGACCTATATAAACAATTATCTTCCAGAGAGTAAAGTACTCAGATGAAACCCCTTGTGTGAATTTTCAGATTATTCCATTGGAAAATGTGAATAAAATCATCTAAATACCGAATAGCGGGGGTATCGTTATATGGGGGATATACGATATTGTGGACCTATATAGACACTTCTATTTCAGGGGGTAAGGTACTCGCAAAGAACTCCTTGTGTGGATTTTTAGACAATTCCATTGGAAAGTGTGGCTAAAATAATCAAAATATCGAATATCGGGGGTTACCGTTGTATGGGGGCTATACGATATCGTGAACCGAAAAAAAAAAGAATAATATACAGGGTGAGGTAAAAAACTGCAACAAAGTCAAAAGCCATAATCTTTACATTTTTTTAAATTTTATTGAATGAAAGCAAAACATGTCGGTAATACCATCAAATTTTAGAATAAGTTTAGATTTGTTCGAATTGGTCACCTTTGGCGCGAACGATGGCCTTCAAACGGCCAATGAAACCATCACATTCTGCCCGAATATTGCTCTGCGGTATTTTGGCTCATTCCCGGCGAAGCGCTTGCTTGTGGCGATCGACACCTTGGTATTTTTTTAGCGATGGTGCTGAGTACTGTTGGAATGTCCAAGGTCTGCGGCCAAAATGTTTGCGTGCCCAAGGCTTTAATATACCCTCCAGAATATTTTCGCCATAATATTCGGCGGAGAGTGAAAATCGGCTGTTATGGCGGTCCACTCCATCACCATGACCGGCGCTTGAGTTCTGGTGGCCAACCGATGGTGCACATTTTCAGCTGACCTCTTTGGCAAGTAAACACGATCATTTTGTTTGTTTACAAACTGCTGACAACGAATGTTTTCTCATCGGAGTAAACCAAATTCGACAGTTCGCCACTTTAGGCCAAGCGAAGTAACTCTTTAGCTCTTTTGATTTTATTTTTTTATTTCTGTTGCGGTGTAAGTTCTTGCATTTTTTGGAATTTCAATGGTTTTACCCCGAGCTCATTTTTCAGTATTTTCCGAGTGGGATATTGCGATATGTTCAGCTCACGAGCCATTTTTAGGCCACTGCGACACGGGTTTCGATCAAGCCGCTTCTTTACTTTTCGAACCATTTCTGCTGATGTTGCTGTTTTCTTCTGTCCACTTCCTTGACGTCGGGCTACGCTACCAGTACCACGGTAACGAGCGATGGTACGAGACACAAAAGATTTATTTACATTTAAATTCTGGAGTGCTCTAACAATACCCGCTTGTGGTTTTCCAGCCAAATATAAAGAAATCACACTATCACGCTGGAATTCCATCCCGAATAATTTTTTTTCTGGAAAATGTTCACCAAAATGCTTTTGTACGCTTGTAAACAATATAATGAGCTGTCACTGGAATAATTTTATCAGTGGTTTAGAAATGACAGCAGTCTGAAGTTGGTTGCAGTTTTTTCATCTCTCCCTGTATATGCAATTCTTGTCATGGGTCATTACAATATTTGGATACGAAACTTTATACAATTGCGGTTAATAATGTGGCTAAAATCATCAAAATACCGAATATAGGGAGGTACAGTTGTATGGGGCTGTGCGAAGACTTGGACCTGCATATAACATTTTCTGTCATAAGCTCTAGTACATATTAGGTGCTTCACATTTGAAATTTGATACAATTCCGGCGTATAATGTCGCGAAAATCATTAAATTACCGAATATAGGGAGGTGCAGTTGTATGGGGACTATAACAAAACTTTGACATATGTAGACAGTTTAATGCAAGAATATATCATTCATAATTTGAACTCAATCTGCAAACTTACAGCAAATTCGGATTTAAATTGTAACTAAAACAATCAAAACATCTTAAATCTGCCGGCACAGTTATGTGGGGGCTATACCAAAACTTGGACCTATATAGCCCAATTTTAATACCAAAAGTCCTGCAGTTATGAGAAGAAAATTTTATCAACCTACTTTATTTCGTTCGGAAGCTAGACTGATTTCCACAGACGGACGAACAAAAAGGTAAGCAATCGGTCGGGCATGGCCTAGCCTGTGATACCGTAATCCACTATGCTTGAGCTAAAGTCCATATTTATTCTTTAAGTTATAAAGTCCCTATTTATCCCTATGGGAACCCGTTCTCTAATTTTTGGTTGTTTCAATATAAATTGTTTTAAAGTCATAACTTACTTCTATAAGTATAAAGACCGCATAAATCTAGAATATTCAAAGGGGTAAAAAGTTCGTTCTCATAGTGACGTACAAGGTGTGTCGTGTGTAAATGTCTTTTTATTATTATTATCAATTTTTACTTTTCAAAATTTTAATAACTTACATACGTAAGCATCTACTTGTATAAACATCAGAATTCCGCTATGATGGTGACTTACCTGAAAAATTACTTATCAAACTTTCTCAATGATATTTAAGGACAACATCAGCTACTCTATTAACCCACCCTATGGCACCTTTACTTTTTATTCAATATACAAACATACATATCTCTATACATATCCCCATGATGTTTGGTATTTTGTTGGAAAACATAACACAGGACACTTACCAGTAGTAGAACCACAGCATAAAGACATGGATTGGTAGAAAACAAATGCCGAAAATAACCACAAAAGCCAAAACTGTCAGGGCAACTTTACGTCTGGCACGTACCTGAAATGAAACGAAACGCAGCAGAGAAAATAAAATAGGAAAAAAAACAACAAAAACAAAATTACATGAAAACCAACATCCACATCCCAGAGACAACAAGTCGAGTACACTTAACACTTCTACGAGTTAACCACTCTCCGGGTATTGAACGATAATTAAGAAAATAGAAGATATGAAATTTCCCTGGAGATGGCATTCCGTCGGTTTGGAGTTAAGTTAATTTTCCTTTTTTTGTTCAATTTTATAAGCTAGAGGAAAATACAAGTACAAATGTAAAGGGAAATGTGAGCTGTTGGAATGGCATTTCTAATGGTTTCAAATTAAGTGCGAGAATAATTGGATTTTAAGCTAATTAGACAATTGTGGATACCAAAAAATAAAATTTGGATATCTTCGGAATGCTATTTTAAAAACACAAACAATTATAGGAGATCAACATCTTGGTTGAAAAGAGGGAGTAAAGGAGGTGCTGCGGCGTTTTAAACGTTTACGTTTGGAAAATAACCTAATTAGGGGGGCAATAACCCTCATTACGAGATTTTGGTTTAATTTAAAGGTATAGGCTAATTCCTGGGAAAAGAAATAGTAGTTTCTTTTTGGATATGGGATTCATAATACAAAGTAGAAATTCAAAATGGTTATTCCAGATAGCAATTCCATGCGACTAGCATTCTTTGATATTGAGAATCGAAAAGTCGCCGGGGTGTCCGTCTACCTGGCTGGCTGGAAGAATTACACAAAACTGACATTATTTTGGCATTTTTTCTAAATCTTAAAAGCGCACTTATAAACACGTTCATCTCTCTCCACTCGTTTTGCTTTAATTATCCCTATCGAAGTCTGTAACAACAAAAATCCCTTCTTCGACGGTTGTTTATTAATAGAATAGTGTTGGCATGTATGTTCGGGATACGGCAACAAGAAAATACTACGGTCTCTTTCTTTTTATGAGGAAAATTATTTTCTTTGACAATTTTGAACCAATGTGGGGAGGTAACAGAAGGAGTGAACCGATGTTGCCCATATTGGATTCTATAGACGAGTGGGGCGACCACGTGATACACCTTAAGTCCAAATTAATTTAGCTAGATTTCGTTTTTGAAATAATGCCCCACAAACCTAAACAAATATTACCTTGTTTTTTGACAGGGGGCATTTGTCTTATATTTAACCTCACTGTTGTTCTGATAGATAATCAAAACTATTTCCCACAAAAGTTGTGGTCCATTTTACTAAATGTAAACTAATGGTCATCTACAATCCTACACTTCTGCCCAGTCCTAAAGTTTAACTTTATGCAAAAATGCTGTGTGGATTGGTTTTAAATTGTAAACTGTAGATTGACGATAAAATCAGGAATATTGAATTTGTGGTCCCTTATGTACATTCTCAAAAACAATAGGCTTAAATTCTGACCCTAACCCTACCCTCAGCAAAATTTCATATATATATATATTAAGAGGTCTGTGTCTCCCTCATTTTCTCCTGTATCTACATTAATTATACCCTCAGCCATATAGCTACAGAGGGTATATCATGTGATATGGCAAAAACGTGCCTAGTCGAAATAACGATTTTAGACCCTGGGTCTCTTTGGACCAAATACGTTTCAGGACATTTAGAGTCGATCTAGCGATGTCCGTCCGTCCGTCTGTCTGGCTGGGTAGTGCGCACGATAACTCCTGAAGTTAATATCCGATTTGATCCAAACTTGGTACATCGAAATATTATTGCCAAATTTAGATCGAGTTCGGAGATGCATATCCTAATATTTGCATCAATGCCAGGTCAGGTGTGAAAATTAACAATATTGGTCCACTTCATCAAGTACCTCCCCCACAAATGGTCAAAATTTTTAATAATTACAACTCTTATAAAATTCGATGTAAGAGTCCGATTGTCTTAAAAGTTCACACATCCCAATATTTTTATCAGCCCAAGGTCTGGTGTTGGATGGTAAGATGGTATATCGGTCCGCTCCTTCTGGTAGCTCCCCCGCAAAAGGTCGAAATTTTAAATATCCATTAAACTCATAAAACGATTCCATTTAGACTTGGCACATCTAAATATTTCTATCAACACAAGATCTGTTATAAATATGGTAGAGATCGGATCATTCCTTCTGGTACCTCCCCCACAAACGGTCAAAGTTTTTAAAAACCAAAACGTTTATAAAATCCGAAGCATCAGACTCTCTTTATATTTCACACATACAAGCATTTTTTTAACACAAGATATGTTGTGAAGATGCTATATATCTGCGAACCTCTTCTGGTACCTCACCCACAAAGGGTCACAATTTCAATACTTTTATCTGTCATAAATTGCGAAACATCTCAGCGATTCTTTACAATCTGCTACATCTAAATATATGTCTCTCAACCAGAAACTTGAGATGAATATGATTTCCCATAAATTTGATATAAATGTTGGATTTTCTTATAATTTTGACCATACTAATATATTTATCTGTATTGGATGAAGTATGAAAATGGAATACTTCGGTCGACTATATCTGGTACCTCACGCACATATTAACATTTTTTTAAAAAAAATTCATTGGGAGCCCCAAACTGGTATCGAAATGAATTTCTGTAACTTTAACTATAAACGAATTCGATTTGTCCATTCCTTTGGTTTATGCCTTACTTAAGCCTCAATATTTCTTCGATTTCGGCAACTTTTGGCATGAGATTTATTGCCTACAGAAACCAATGAAATTTGTATCAAATCGACTAAAAGGTATAAACATACCTAGTATATCGACGAGCAGGCTCGATCTCGATATGTGTGTCCATCCGTCTGTTCTCGTACATACATATTACATATTTTAACCGTTTTAAAGATTTAAGGTTCATCAAATTTTTAATGTATTTGTAATTTTACTATTTCATTGAAAACTATTTTTGCTTTAATAGTCTTTTGAATACTTAACTCTCACCGACCGTAATTTAATTACCTTGAAGTGGAGAGACATACTTGTGATAGTCCAATAACAGTTAATTTACAAAAAAAAAACATTTGTTTATTTTTAATTTGAAAGCTGAGAACGCACTCTCATACTACATCATAATGTACTATATATATGCTCATATGAGTAAAAACCGTAAATGTATATAATTTGTAATTTTTCGCATTTTTCATAACTCCTATCTGGACGCAGTGGTGGCAGTATACGCACAACACACATTCCACAATTTATCCTACTTATGATGGCTTCTTTCCGCCGTCATTTTATAAATGTTTGCTAATTTAATATAATTTATTTTTTTTGCCATTTCGCACATTCAATTTAAAATGCGAATGGAACACAAAGATATCAAATTAGATGTTGGCATAGAAAGAATGATTAATAATACCCACTCTTCTCCCCCCCCCCCCCCAATCATATACCCCACAAATTGCTTGACATGTGATACAACTTGTTGACAGATATTGTGCCTCCATCAGCCAACAAAAACACGAAAACCATTGTAAATATTTACCTGTCTGACAGCGCCTTGCATTTCACCGGGAACATTAGCGGCATACATTAGATGTCGTGCTATCAGGACATAAAAAACTCCAATTATGACCAGGGGTATGGCGTAATAGACCAGGAAACGCAGCAATACCATCAGCTTCGCATACTCCCAGCCCCATTCCTCGGGAAATGGATAGCACAAAGAGAACGATTTGTTGCTATTAACAACCACTTTCTGTAATAATAATAAGCAAAAATTACATCCGTGGGTTCGGCGGGGTTGGCATGAAGACAAATTATCGAAATAAATTCTAAACTTTACATTCCACAGCTATTGTTTATCACATGATAGGGCAATGTGGGGAGTTATGTATGTACGTGTGTGGGTGTTTGACATTAGCTTACCTTGATGTATGTGCCAATTAATGCCGGTAGTCCGCAGATTATTGCCAGGAGCCAAATTGATACGGCTATGGCTATTGTCATGCGTGTCGCTCGCTTTCCACCACCTGAGATTAGTTTAAATGCGTATTTTGTGTCGCCATTAAATCAAATCCAAACGAATAAATCTCAAATGCAAATTGGTGATTAGTTGCAAACTTACCGTGCGCATGAAATTTTCTCAGGGGATCAACAATGGCAAAATAGCGATCGCCCGATAACGCCGTCAATGTGAAGACTGAAACACCAATGGAAACATCTTTGAAGAATTCCGAGAGTGTACAAAGTAAACTTCCCCATGGCCAGGAATCCACGGTGTAGACTGTAGATGTCAGGGGAACTGTAGTTACTATCACCAATAGATCGGCCAAGGCCAGGGAGAAAATATAACTGGAAAATCGTGAAATATATATATTGTTTGGAATAATATCAATAAGTAATATTTGTTACATAATTTGATGCAATTTCAATAATCTTATGCAAAATAATAAAGAATAAGGCGAAAGCTAAAAGTTGTACCATGTAACGTATGGGTTATGCTGTAGCATATTTTATTACTTATACGCACGCTTGCACTAATGCTTTCTGGAAAGTAGCAACTACAGGGTCCGCCATACAACGCTTTTATACCCTCCACCATTGTATGGAGGGTATATTAAGTTTGTCATTCCTTTTGTAACACCTCGAAATATACATTTTAGACCCCACAAAGTTTATATATTCTTGATCAGCATAAAATTCTATGTCGATTTAATAATATCCATCCGTCTGTGGAAATCACTCTAGCTTCCGAAAGAAATGAAGTAAGTTGATAAAAATTTCCTCAAATGTGTATTATGTCTGCAGGACTTTTGTAATGGGCAATGTAGGTCCACGTCTTCATATAGCTCTCATATAACGGTACCTACCGATATGCAGTATTTTGATGATTTTAGCGACATTATATATCGGAATTGTTTCAAAATTCGTATTTGAAGTTCGTAATAGCTACTACAGCCTAAGACTGAAAATGGGCCACGCAGGTCCACGTCTTCGTATATCCCTCATAAAACGGTACCCCCTACATTCGGTATTTTGATGATATTAGCGACATTATTTACCGGCATTTTTTTCGCATTTGGCTTTTAAAGTTCGTAATGGATACTACAGCCTATGCCAAAAAATGTCTGTACAGGTCCACGTTTTATAACACCCCAAGGTATCTCCATATATTCGGTATTTTGATGATTTTAGCTACATTATAAACAGGTTTTTTTTCAAGTTTCGCATTTAAATATTGTAATATCTTATGACAAAAGCTGACTATGTAGGTCCACGTCGTCGTATAGACCCTAATATAACAGCTACATTCGGTATTTTTAAGATTTAAACATAATTTTTAACGGATTTTTTTTTTTGAAATTGCCAAATTTCTACCAAATGGTTGCGGGTATTCAAAGATCGGCCTGGCCGAACTTACAGTTTTTTTACTTGTTTAACTACTGGTTATTTCGTAAATTGGTAAAACTTTGTTCATGTCTGATTGGAAAGAAAATAAAAAACGTTGGAAAATATTGCAGCATTACTTTAATGAAGAATGAAAGAAGAGAAGCATCACCAGCTCCGTATATTTGTTATCTTGTAAAAATGTGAAAGAAACTGGCATATTCACCGATAACCACAGCGCGAGAAGCTAAAAACAACGAGTACACCCAAGGATATTGATGCTGTGGTAGTGCGTGTGCTTGAGTCGCTATCAACTTCAATTTATTGTCGTTCTCAACAATTTAACATTTTGGAGACATCATTAACACACATTTTGCATAAAGACCTTGGTATGAGACAATTTCACACAATTTCGCATTTTCAAAAAATGAGCCAAATTCATATATCAACTTCCACAGATAATTGTTACACCAAATGTCACGATTTTTATTTCTATCCGTTTATATAGAACAAAATGGCACCCAATTTTGCTTTTTTTACTCTTAAGTTCAAATTTCCAAAACAATCTTTGGTACATATATCCTACATGCCATCAGCGACTGATATTTCAAATTTCCAATTTCTATTTCTATATATTTTAATATCATTTAGTGCTTTTTAAAATCCACCGACATATATCAACTAAAAGTGACTCTAATACCAAATGTTTAATTATACCCTACAACACTATGTGTTGGGGGTATTATAAGTTTGATTGGGCCAAAAATTATGTAACACCACGAAATATTGGTTTCCCACATAGGAAAGTATATCTGGATCTTCCTATCTCGCCGCGCTGAGTCGATCTAGCTATGTATGTCCGTCCGTCCGTCTGTCCATGTTAATTTGTAATCACTCTACAGGTCGCAATTATGGCCCGATCTTCACGAAATTTAGAATGGAGGTGGGGCTAGGGTCAGAATAGAACCCTATTTCTTTTGGAGATGATCGCATAATATTTAGGGATTGAAATGGGCCAAAAACTGAAAAAAAATTGCAGTTGCTCTACAGGTCGCAATTATAGACCAATCAAAGCGGAAGTTAGCATTGGGCTAGAGCTTAGGGCTGGGCAGAAGCCTTCCAATTTTGATGGTCATCGGGTAATATTTAGTGGGTGAAATATGCCACAACATTTGTGTTAAATAAAAGTCAAATTTTCCATTAAACCGCGAATATTTTTAATCCCGGCGAAATCACAAATAGATGAACAGGTCAATTCTGACCGTTACGTAGATGCCGATAGCAATTATATCGGTTGTATATAGCGAAATATATACAATGTGTATATACAAAGGAAGGTGATGTTAGTAAGAATGCTTATATCTCAAGAATGGCTGGACCGATTTTGACAAATTTTATCAATTCAGAATGCCCTCCTGACATAAAATCGCAGAAAAATATGCCAATAAAGATGTTAATATAGATTTTGTAGTATATAGTGACATTCTTTTATTTTTTTCATATTTTTTATCGCATGCGATTTTTTCAATTTGACTTATAATATTTAGTAATATTTTTTCACCTTACAACACAGGTTGGGAATATTATATAAGTATTGCAAATATCGTCCGATCCTCACGAAAATTTTCACAAGGGTAGGGTTGGGCTCAGAAGGGCTAAGCCTATTGTTTTCAAAGATGTCCGCAATATATTAGGGGGTTGAAATGGACCAACAACTAAAAATTTTTCTGATTTTGCAGCCGTTATAAAGGTCACAAATAGAAACCAAAGGACACGAAATCTCGCATAAAGTTAGAGTTAAGACAGCGGGTACAATGGACAACTAATTTTGTGTGAAAAAATACCAGCATTACATACAGGCGATTTTCGAAATACACAAAAGGCGAATTTCTGGCTTTTTTAATGCTGATTTCGTTGACGAATATAGCCAAATATCATAGTTGCTTGTCTACGATGAGTCTAAATTTGGAGATACAGAGGGGCTTCTTGCTTTTGGAGATGATTGCAAAATATTTAGGTGTTCAAATTAACCAAAACTGAAATGCTTTTCAGATCACACAGTTGAAGCCAATCGACACGCCTGTGAAGAGAGTTAAGTACAGGGAAGAATTCTAGCATTTTGGATGACCATTGGATTATATTTATCTGTAAAATGGACTACAACAACTAACAGCTCGACGTAGTGCATAAATGTTGGGCAAATGTCCCTAGTCAAAATCCTAATTTCAAAAGCGAAATCTTCCAATATGGATTTGGACATAAGGGAGCTTCTAACATATTGTATGTGTTGTAGGGTATAACATAGTCGGCCCCGCACGACTATAGCCTTTTCTTACTTGTTTTAACTCAATATGTGTCCCAAATACCAAAATTGAGTATAGATGAGTACTTTTCGTAATTTTTAAAACGTATTTCAAAAATCACCTCATATCAACCCCAAACACTAGCAGTGACCTTAATGAAAATTTTCAGATTTCAGGTACTATCCGTTCACCCAATACTAAATGTAGTATTGTTTAGTACTTTTAGTATAGTTGCAGTAGGCATTTTCAAAACAACCTCTTAATTTGAATCCCACCAAACAGCAAGAACCCCGATATCAACATTTAAAATTTCAGCTTCATCCGTTCGCTTAAAATCAAATTGTACCAAATTTACATGTACAGTTTTTACACTTAGCACTCATTTCCAAAAACACCTTCTTATATCAACCCTTCTTTCCAAAACTGATGAAATTTCTATCCGTTCATATAATTCCGAATGGTACCAAACTTTGTACATCTCCCTATCCCTTCTCCAAAATACAAAATTGAATACCAGTTAGTAATTTCCATATTTTTTTATAACATATTATCAAAATCACTTTCATATCTCAACCCCAACTCACAAAAAGTGATCCTAATACTCAGTTTCGGATTTCCAAGCCTATCCCCTCCACATATACAGAATTATGTACCGTTTAGTACTTTGTTGTTTATATTTCCAAGACCAATTTCAAATCTTTGCCCAATTGTTGTACCATCGCACTGCAAGTGTAAAAACATTTAGTACACATTTCCACCACCTCATATCAATCCTACATCTCCAATATCATTTTTATACCAAATGTTAAGATTTAAACTCTATCCGTTCACATAATATCAAATGGTTATTACAGTGCGAATTTCCAAAACACCATTGGAACATCTAACTAACACCTCATCAGAAGTCTGAAACGGCTCATGGATTAACGGAATGAGTTAATCCATCAGCCGTTTCGCCTGGGCGTTGATCTTTCATATATAAAGCGTGTTTTTCTAAAAGCTTGCTGAGTTGAAATTCAACAGATCAAATTAAGAAAAAATGCAAAAAAATAGAAGAAGTGTTATTTGGTAGAAAATTCTTTGTTATTTAACATTTAAATAAAATTTCGGGCACATTTGGAGGTCCAATTTTCGATTACCTTTTCAATCATTTGAGGGCGTATTTCACATAGAAAGCGTCAAATTGGTTTATCAACGCAAACAAATGACATCAGATATTCGCACAAAAAATAATCGAGTGGCTTTAAGTCACACGAACGCGGAGGACAATTCACCGGCCCCCTTCTCAAAATAATGTTGTCGTTTAAATGTTCTTTCAATAAGTAAATTTTTCATCGCTCGCAGTATTCGAAGTGGCACTAACCTGTTGAGAAATTGCCATTTTTTTCGACACTGGCCTCACCAACAGCAATATTTTCTGCTGCACGCCCTCTGCTTATTCTTTTCGGTGGCTTGGCATCCAATCAACCCAGCTGTCAGACAACAAAGTGATTCATATTAAAACAAGTTTAGAAGAATCAGCCGACAGATGTATACCCTCAGCTAATGTTAGATTTTTAAAATATATTTTGACTTCTTTTATGATTATTCAAATTGTTGACCCTTTTTGGAGTAGGTTCCGAAAGAATGGGCCAATATTGCCCATTTCGTATCGGATCCAAA